AATAATTTTTAAATCAATTTATTTGACATTATTATTATATTTCATTAATCCAAACCATTATACTCTAATGCACTTCTCTTGACACTGAATGGATTTTCTTTCAAATGGGTGTCAACTACTTTCTTTGGTTGTGCAAGCTTCAAAAGACGAGCGGATATACCTCTCATCTTCTTTTTGGACTTGTATGAGAAATGCTTTTTCTTCAGTTTTGCCATATTTATTTATTTTATTTTGATAGGTTAAAGTGTTATACACAATTAATTTGGAATCATATTAAAAACTGTTGCTAATGATTTAATATTTAAAAATTTTTAATACAAAAATTTAGAATGACGTTGATGTGAGAAAATATGTCTCCTGACACCGCTGTCTGTATTGCCGAAAAGCTAAAACCTAACGACGAAAATGTAGTACGAAAATTTTGAATTTTTCACATATTTTATTTTTGAAAATTTATTGAATTTATTTTTGATTAATATTGCATTTCATAGAATGTTTTAAATTTGATTTTAACGTCAGTTATGACGGTAGTGACTTCTTACTTAATAGGAACTGTTGTATTTAATAAGAGGTTTCGAACAGTAGTAAATTGCAACAACAAAATTTTCATTTACTTTTACATATTTACATAATTGATTTCATATAATGTTTTGTTTAGATAAAATACCTGAATTTTTTATATTTCTTTCCACAGGTATCAAATATGAGTTCAAATTTCTAAAGAACGCTATCTTTTATGACGCAAAGCTGATGGATTCCTTCACTAACATGCCAAAGTACATGTTACATGATTGCATACAATTTGTTTATGTAACACCGAGCAAATTAAGGTCTACTAGTAGGACCACAGTCTTGGCAAAACTCTGGTGGTTAAATTTCTGACTTTAAAGAGGTTTAATAGGTCCCAATATACATATATAATAAGTATATAGATATATATACATATATATGTAATATGGAGTTTGATTATGTGCTAATGTATTAATTTTTACAACTTGATTCAAATTCATTCACCGTTATTAGACATACGATGTTACCCACAGTAGGGTCAATGACACCCTCTAGAAAAAATATTTCAATACAATATATGAAGCATACTATACCATTTGGTGCATACTATACCATTTCTTTAAATTTAGTCTTTTGTTTAATGTTAAGATTAGAACCACTTAGAACCTTTGCCAAAGCTTATAATGCTATCAGAGGGTGGTATTCCAGTTTGCCAAGATTCTCAAAAAAGAAATTCGCTAAAGTGATAAGGCGGCACTATGCATATGCTGAACAGAAACAAACCAAATGGGAGACACTTTCATTGTTCTCTCCATTGTCCTCTCAACTGTGGCAGGTATGGTTGAAATGGAGATTTAGTCTCCTAGCATGATTATCTAAAATACAATAACCTGTAAGCAAACCTACTAAAACACTGATATCTCTACGGGGCATTTTAATGAGAGAGTTTGATTTTTCTTTATTTGATTAATGTTAAAATCGCATATAGTAACAGACTTCTTTCTATCTAACATATTTGATATACTTATTTATGTGGACTGATATAAAAATTAATGTAATAGAAAATAATTAGTTCATAAAATATTTCTGAACACGTTTTTTTTTGCAATCTTATTTGAATACGTTGATTTCTTATTTTTATTTACTAAGTCTAAACGATCCGCACTTAAATTCTAAAGTCTCACACTTCCAATCTCAAGAAAGTGAAAATCTTCTTTCCGGTTTTTTTAATTTCTTTCAACGAAAGTATAAGCACATCTAATATCCTAGAGCCTTATTCATTGCAATGTCGTGATGCACTTTCGTTTTCACACAGCCTACATACGAAATGTTTCACTCTGACTCCATACTGTAGTACATATGTGTATCTTGTATCTTGTACTACACAAATATCTGCGCCCAATGAAATTTTCAATTTTAACGATGCCACAATAGCCATGGCAATAGCTGCACGAATTAGTAATCCTCCACACCAAGCATGCATGCATGGAGAACGAAGTTTGCACCATGGCACCCATGGATTTATTGTTTATACACTGTCGCTTGCCAGCCTAGGTTTGATGGCGGTAAATGCTGCTGTGAAAATCGCATACACCTACATATTATTTTGGCGTAATTCAGATAATCTGGTATTAGACTAATGTTTGTTAGTTGCGTATGTACGGTTGAATGTATCTGAAGTCATGACATTGAATGCGAGTGGAGTTTCATTCACAAAAATACTAGAAGGCAATGTGCAATATTTATTAACCGAAATTTTATTAGCTTTGAAATTTTAGTTCATGGTCAATTGATGTTGGCCAGGGATCTATGTTAACATGATGCCTTATGTGTTTTGGGAACATATGTAGATATGTAAATTAACATTTGCATATGAGTAGCTGCGAATGTGAAATGAAGTTCATTTGTATTAATTGCATATGCGGTTGGATTTCACACTGATTTTGATAGAGAGTTGCATTGAGACCAAAAAGAACAAAAACAAAATTTAGAAAATTTGTTTAGTAGTTTGTATGTCACATGAACGACGAACGCAGAGTTGAAAATTCGAAAATTTATTTACTCGCAGATAGAATTGATAATATAGTATGTACTTACTACATATATAGATAGGTTGGTATTGGCATTAGGTGTTAGGATGCACATGCAAATAATGGAATTATATTTGTGAATGAGTGTAGATAGCTATTGTGCTATTGTGATATGTAGTAAATTGTTATTTCACATAAAATTAGACAACCTTGACTTAGTTATGGGAAAGTGTGTCTGAATAATTAGTTTTATTTAGGATGATATTACATACAGTATATCTGTTAATAACATACATTAAATTAGCTTTGACTTAGTTATTGGAGAATGTGTTTGAATAATTTGTTATATTAAGGATGGCTAATAAAGGACGTATAATAATATATATTAGATTAAATTAATTGTGCAAACAATGCAGACTGTAGTAAAATTTGATGTATTTCAACAACTTCCTGCAAATTATTTTAACAATGTTATTATTAGCTAATACAATTGGCAAATATATTAGTATAAAGAAGATTGTATTTCTTGTTTGTTTGATCAAATCAAGATGTTCTTATCACAGACGTTTGTACCCTCCACTGCGGGTTTCGTTCATTAGTCTACAAATCATTGTTTATGTTGCTTGTAGAGTATAGGATTCTTGTAAAACAGATTTGCATCTGCCGATGAAGTAGTGCTTTACGTGCTTAGTATTTTACAGAACTTGGAAATGATATAGTTTTTCTCGTTAAATTATCACGTATCACTTTCTTCAGTGGAAGAAGGAAGTGGAAGCGGGCCAAACCATCCTTTTGTCAGAGTCCATTAAAATAGGTAATTGAATAGCAATTCAGTCATTTTTAATTTGTTTTTATACTTGTACCGGTTTAGGTCAGATATTCTTTTGCTACTCATAATAAGGGATATTTCGTCGTTTTACTACTTTATTCCTCCCTAAAAAAACTTGAGAGATAAAAAAAAAATACCTAAATTTATTTCGTGGACTTTAGATAATTTAACACATCTATCTACACTTGTCATCATCAATTAATTGTCATGGTTATAATTCGTTTATAAATATAAATAAACGATATTAAAAAAAATTTAATTTTTTTTGATTAATTTATTTAATTATTTAAAATAAATATATTAACTATTTATAGTTATACTATTTATAGTATAATTTAATTAATTAAGTAAAACAAGTATATTAACTATAAATAGTTAATATAGCGGTACGTTGATTTCTTGACTTTTTTTAGTCACCTGTCTAAGGTTAAAAATCTGTTAGATTGTGGATATAGAAATGTTCACTCTAGTTAGTTTCGTTTTAGTGTTGTAATTTTATTACGATTATTTGAGAGACTATCGTCAAATGTTACTTCGGTTATTAGGATTTTTATAATATCAAAAAATATATTATATATTTGGAATAACAGTTGCTTATATCATCCAAGGTCCAAGGGGTTTCAAGAACTGATAAGCTTTTGGACTGTTAAGCTTTTACAATATTTAAAAAATAAAAAAATTTTAAATGCTTATTTTTAATTGACAAAATATTAATGAAAAACAATAGTACTCGTAAATTGTTTTATAAAGAAATAAATGAGCGAATTAAATCGTCTGATGAACTTAGACATTTTCATGCTGTATCTTTTTATTGCATAATATTTTATATTATTTTGAATTCGAATTCATAACATTTTAACTACATTTAAACGTCAAAGCCAAGCTTAAATAGTTGAAATTAAGTTTCTTTAGTACAATATATTATGCCAATTTATTTCGTAAAATCAATAAATTTAAAAAAATGTCTAATTGTTGTTTATCTAAATGTGTTATTACATTATATAAAAAACCACTGTCTACGGCAATATTTAACAATAATAGTCGCTGAACTTTAAACTTAAGTAACTTCTGAAATTTGCTGCAGTTGTTGTTGTTGTATTGTTTGCCAGCCTCATCGCAAAATCTACGGTTCTAGATAGAAAATTGAAGCTAGTAATTTAATACGAGTATTACGGACTGAAAATTAATTTCTATTCATGTTTCAATTATAAAATCACTTGAATTAACAAGTTTTATGTTCGGTATGCTAATGACCAGAAAGCAAAAAGCTTGTTAGACTTTCAGTACTAGAACGAACATTTTCTCAGGCATGATTAGCAGCTTGATTTATGGCAAAGTACCTGAGAGTTATAGGATGCCAATTGCTGACTTATGTTATTCATTTAAAAAAGATAATTTAAATATAACTAATTGTATATTTTATATCCTGAATTATTATATGTAAATATTATACATTTCAATTAAGTAAAGAAAAAAATTTAATTAAAAAGTACTTTAAAATTTACCGGACTTCATTAATAAAAGTTCAAAAGAAGCTCAGTAGTTGAGAAAACAGTACTTAACTGAAGTTGAAGATACAACAAAACAGTTCTTTCCTGTTTTCATTTAAACTGACGGCTCCAAAATAGATTATAGAATCGACAGTAGCATATTTCCCGATGAACTGGGTCTTAGCATCTCGTTTCAACTACTGAACCTTTCTTTCAGGCAGAAATAATAGCAAATTACTATACAGTAAAATGAGCCTTTGTCAATCAGATCCCTAGTGTAAATATCATAATCTTCTCAGACAGTCAAGTTGTTATTAAATTTCTAGCAGACGTTTCAGCTACATTCGTAACAATTCGAGAATACCAGTCTTGTCTTAATGAGTAAGCTAGGCGTGTCAGTGTCCAACTTAGATGGGTATAGGCATATCTCTAGCAACTGCAGGGTACAGCAGCTTGACAAAACACTTTGATGTCTGACATTAATTTCTCAATTATTCGAAGAAAAATATCTGAGTATAGTTCAACAAACTTGACAGATAAACCCTTATATC